GCAGGACACATGTGCCATTGCCCTCTCTGGTCTGCTGTTGCTTTTACCACAAAAAGCAGAAGAGCATGGGAGACTGAGTAGAGCCCTCCCCTGCATTTGAAGCATGTTCAGGAGCTTGGATGACTGGTTAGAAGCCCTTGATCCATTATCCATTACTCCCTTATAAACAGAAAATGAATGAGAAATTTAGTTCCTGAGCTATACAGGGCTTATACTCTCCTGTCCCTTCATGCTCCTGATGCTTTTCTGGTCCCCTATAACTCATTACTTCACTAGTAAAGCTTCAAGATCCATGTGCCCTGCATCAGGCTGGACCAAAAATCTGCAGAATTTGTGCGCAACAGATTTGGAAAACTCTGTGGCAAACTCAGGTGAATTCAAAACAGAAATGGTGTCTCATTTAAACAGGACAGAGCTTTTTCACATTGATAAAGAATCTCTTGGGTTATTTGTTTGGATATTAAATTCAGTTTATTTCACATGGCTTTTTGCTTCCTTCCCATCCACATTTAACATACTATAGGCCTCAAATTGCAGCTGCATAAATATAGTGTAGAAGGCTTTTGAGGAGGGTAAAGAAGCTGTAATTTTATTTATTTATTTTTTTAACTGCTGGGTGCTTGATGGAGTGTCAGTTGAGGCTTTTGATAGTAGGGAAGGAATCACTCTCCTCTTCTAGGCAGAGTGATTCCTCTTATCTTATCTTCCTTGACCCCTGCCTCTTATGGGCAGGGGTCAAGGTGTTTAAAATTCAGGGTAAAGGATCAAATTTTCTGCAGTCTTTTGACAAACTTACTGGTCATTCCTTCTCTAGAAAGGTAGCATTGTCCAATAGCAGTGACGTAGCATTTAAGCCTGGTATTTCTGCTAAGGTAATCAGCAGGGAAAAACAACTAATGATACTGAATAGGCTTCAGAGGTGTGTAGGGGTATCTCGCATTTCTCAGTATGACTAATTTCTAATAGCCTGTAGATTTCAGTGCTTTGGTTGCATACATACAAGTTTGCCTTTAGAAGAGCCCCCTCCTGTTGTGACGATGTAACTTTTCTTTTTAAAATGAATTTACATTTTCAAGCACAATTAGGGGATAACTTAAAAGAAGCAGGCTCATGAGTGTTTGTATCATCTTACACATGCACAAAGCTCCAACTGTGGCACTGTAGGTTATTCAGTTGCCTTCTCCCAATCTTGTTGCTCAAATGTTTTATGGGACAATGATAAAGTTGCTTAAAGAGCGTGTGCCAGCTTCTGTCAGTTTAGGGTGGATTGGAGGGGGAAGTACATGTAGCCTTACTGAAAAGCTGATATGAGGGTATAATATACCAGAATAACAGCTGCTCTTATTACTGTCTAGTGAAGAATGGGTTTTACAAATACAGTCTTTTTTGTTCAGCAGATGATTGACCCAGTGAACTGGCAAAGTGTTTATCAGAGAGGAAGTAGAAGTGGTTCTCCATCTGTTAGTCATGAGCACTAAGGGACTTCCAGAAATTTCTTAGCACATTACCTAAAAATCCTTTGCCAGGCTTTTATTTATTTAATTAGATTATCCTTTTTATGTCTTTTTTTGGTGTTGGCACTTTAGAAGGGTATGCAAATAGTCTCAAGCCTGTTTGTTTAAAGCTGTCCCTTGGATTTGGACAGTCTTAGGACAGAAGCAGCCATGATGGCTTTATCTGTTCTTTGGTGTCTGAAAGTTTGACCTGCCTGTAAATTCAGGAAAATTTCCTCATAACATCTGAAAAGAAATGCATTTAATGTCAGAGACTTTCATATTTTGGGAAAGTGACAGGTCCTGCTGGGTTGTGTGAATCATTTCACACTAT